GGATATTTGTAGCAAAATTCAATTTGAAAATGCATTCCGAGCTGACCACGCCCACCCTCCGTCACTCATTGCTTCAAGGCAGGGATTGGCGGAAGCGTGTTACGTTTGGATCGTTTGAAACATGGCAGCTGGAGAGCTGATAAGATCGCTGAATTCACTGGCAGATGAAGTGGAGTGTGAACAGAAATATATTAAGCTTATGGCATTCGGACGCCATAGTATTCCAGACTATAAATGGACATTACAAGCATTACAATAATTATAAATAAAACATTTTTTGTATAATTAATTAATTTAAATGAACGTTTCTAATAAACACATTTATAACAGAACCTCAAGTAAACTACGTTATTTTGTTTAGTCATATACATGTGGGAGCTTTTTCAATTTATTACTCAGAACGACTTATTAGCCTACAACACCTTTAAAGACTTATTCAGGGAAGTACAGCATGATGTAGGAAATGGTTGAGTATTATTTTAGGTATAAAATATCATTATTGTAATGCTTGTAATGTCCATTTATAGTCTTTACACAGCAGCTTGGCTCCTTAAATGTTAAAAAAACAGCTAATTTCAAGACGCTGACGTCACGTGGGTCGGAATACGCTTCATATATTTCTGTTCACGCTCCACTTCATCTGCCAGTGAATTCAGCGATCTTATCAGCTCTCCAGCTGCCATGTTTCAAACGATCCAAACGTAACACGCTTCCACCAGTCCCTGCCTTGAAGCAATGAGTGACAGAGGGTCAGCTCGGGCGTGGGCGTGGTCAGCTCGGAATGCATTTTCAAATTGAATTTTGCTACAAATATCCCACGGCGTCGTGATGAAAATGCAATCCTAAGTGTTCTAACTGTTAGTCTAAATGCATTTTGGACAAATAGCATTTAAATGATCATTTTGCTACCATTTCTGCTTGAACATGTTACGCATATCAAATCAATTTGTGTTATTATTATAAAATTTAATTTTCATTTTACTTTTGCACCAAACTTTGCACGTGTGGGTAATGGAAAATGTAAATTTAAATACAGAAATACATTGCCATTTTGAATATTGCATTGCCATTTTGCATATTGCATTTTAAATTGAATTTCGCTACCTATATGCTTCCATACATTAGTTCCATTGAACTCTATTGGTAACGAAGGAACTTGCGACCATAGTTGCTTTTGGGAATCGCACGCCAGTATGGTTCCTTTTTCAAAGCACTTGTTTACCTAAAAGTAGATCCTGAAAATTAAAAGGTGGCAATTTAAAGGTTTTAAAATGAGATTGTTGCTGTGGTTAATCTTGGAATTGTTTAAGTGACACTGTACCGAGCACTCCCTTAAGAATTTACAGTTTTATTCTGGAGTTGTGTGAATGTTGACAAAAACACAGCGTGGTCAGTGTAGTCTGATTCCCGAACGGATAATATGATCCAGCTATTTTAGTTAATCGAAATTATAACAGCGATAATGGTGCAGTCCACTTTTTGAACAAATGGTTCTTATGACCCTTTTACTTGATTGTTTTATTGTGCTTGCATCCTGTGTCTTCTTTGCAGTGTCCCTCACATGAGAGCTGCATTTTTAGAATGCTGTCAAGGTAAAATAATTCCACCCAAATGTTGAATAAAGGCACATGAGATTTACCATATGGCAACATGCATTTTAAGATATACTGTAGTTTAATGTAGTGTTTGGTTAAAGTAATCAAAGGTCTGTGCAAACATTCTTTTTTAATAATTATATTGCCTTTGATTTATTATCAAAATGAAACATACGGATGAGGGCAGCGAATGCAATTACATTATTGCATTTCTTTCCCCCTCAAAATGGGATTTTTCTTTTTTACTAAAGGAGTTACTAGTGGAACCGTCAAGGAACCCGAATCGTTAAAAGAAATCAGAATCGCAACCAGAATCGATTCCCATCTCGTTCTGTGCGATCCTCTTCACTAATATCCTCTGCGTCTCAATCGGACTCAAATTGATTCACAATATAGACGATGTCATTGTTTACAATACAACCGGAGCACATGCCGCTGAGCTGAGTGGCGGGACGATTAGACGCGCACTAGAGGTGGTTTAGCCAATCACAACACACTGGGCCAGCTAACCAATCAGAGCCCATTGTGTGGTTCTGAGGGAGGGGCCTCATAAAAGCAGGAAATGATCAGCGCGTTCAGAGGAGAAGGGACAGAGCGGTGTGGAATAAAGGTAAATAATGTGAAAAAGAATGCGTTTTTTAACAAACTAAGCATTAATGGAAAAAACAGTTAATGGAAATTTTTACACACATATTGCATAAAACAAAATGGTATATCAAATCAAATATGAATAAAATATAAATTTTCCCATTTTTTTTCTTATGCTCTAAACAATGTAACGACATGAAAAAATACAAAATTCACAAAGCTTTTTTGGGGGGGGGGGTCTCAGGAGGATATGAATACACACAAACATTGAATTATATATTAATGAAATTCATAATATTACAGTAAGGCAAAGATAATAAATATGACATTTCAAATCAGTTAAAATGTATTACACGTGACTAAGAATTCATAGAAACACAAACATCTATATATGGTATGGACCCTTTTCAGAAGACTGTAATGGCCTATTAACTAATTATTATTAGTTTAACGGCCATCAGTAAATCGTAAATCCTCGAAAGTTTTTCATATTTGTATTTCTTAAAACATGTATGTACATTTATAACACTAGGTCTTTGTAATATATCACCTTTGCATCAAATTACAAAAAAAGACAGTTAATGCTAATGTGAGGGTGTTTCTAATGCAGCGTCTTTGGGAGAGACCATAAATTTGACATTGTTCGGGGGGGGTCTCAGGAGGATATGAATACACACAAACATTGCCTTACTGTAATATTATGAATTTCATTAATATATAATTCAAAGATAATAAATATGACATTTCAAATCAGTTAAAATGTATTACACGTCACTAAGAATTCATAGAAACACAAACATCTATATATGGTATGGACCCTTTTCAGAAGACTGTAATGGCCTATTAACTAATTATTATTAGTTTAACGGCCATCAGTAAATCGTAAATCCTCGAAAGTTTTTCATATTTGTATTTCTTAAAAAATGTATGTACATTTATAACACTAGTCTTTGTATTATATCTCCTTTGCATCAAATTACAAAAAAAAAACAGTTAATGCTAATGTGAGGGTGTTTCTAATGCAGCGTCTTTGGCAGAGACCATAAATTTGAAATCGTTCGCTCTTCTGACTGCCGTTATCAGTCTCTCTCAATTTTTTTTTCCTTTTATTGAAAGTCATAAAAACACTATCGTGGAGTTTTTCTTTTGCTATTTGAGCAAATGGGATTGCAAAAAATATATATTTGTGATACTCTACCATTCACTGCTATTCAAGTTAACCCAACTATGACGACTTCTGCTGCTGAGAAAACCAGAAATGTGAAAAGGGTCCATTGCCCTGACTCTTCCCCTTTAAGAAATCTAGTGTGCGTGCAACTGTAGCGCGCATACTTTGAACAGTAATGGTCAAAGAGGAGAAGAAGCTGAGAAATCGAGAGATTAACATTGTTTGACTTGTTAAAAGTTGATTTAAAGACGCTAAAAAGGAAGAAATAGTAATACTTATATGATCTGCATCCTAAACGAACAATTTTTGGTGAATGATATCTGTTGGTGAGTTGTTGAGCTCGTTTTATTGTAACATTATCTGCTGATTAGCACAGGAGTCCGCCTTTACATAGCAAAAGCTATATTGTTTAACAACTGATATTCAAAATGCCTGTTCTGCCACCATTTTGAGCTGTTTTGAATGTTGTGCTTTACGGTTTTGTATAGCGCTATTTTAATTATTAATTGATGGAGTAATATGATGTTCTTATTGTCACGCTGTTGCTGTGCCAGAGAACAGGCAGGACGACGAGGATGAAGGATACCAGAACACTTTAATGAATACACGAGAGGCTAGGAGCACACGCACAGAGTAACATTCACAATAACTGACCAACTGGAACACAATGGACAGGAACTGATATAGGGTGGATAACGAGGGGCAGACAGGTGAGCACAATGAGGTGATTAACTAATAATGAGAACAGGAACAACCAAATAAGGACACAGAGGGAG